TAACCCAAGCTTATTAAACAAGAGAAATGAATTGATGTCTACATGTACGAATAAAAAAAAATATTTGTTTAAATACATAGATTTAAATTGATTTTTAATGTAAATTATGACATTTCTCTTTTAGTTTTTTTTTCTTAATTTTAATGCTTTTATGGAGAAAAACAGTAATTTCCATATATGCTTAATATAAAATTAATTTTCACAACTTTAAAACAAAATTAATTAATATATATGTCTCTGTGTGTGTATAAAGCCCGTAAATTCTAAATGCAAAATACAGTTTTAAAATAAAAAAAAAAAACCTGTAATCACCGTATAATATATGCACTGTACAAATATTGCGTTAACCAGATATTTTTTATTAAAGTTTAAATTACGTAAATGTCAGTCTGTACTCCGCACCTGAAGATTGCGTTGTGCATGAAACTCAGAGTTGTGCTACTGATATGGCAAAAAATGTATATTTATTAATATATTTATATATTATCAACGAAGAGGTGCTGAAAAATTCTAGGCCCGCCAAACTTTTCAAAATATAACTAAACTTCTGATCTTCCTTGAGGGAAAAATTTTTCGTCGGGTCAAAAACTTCTCATTAATAATTCGATATATATATATATATATATATATATATATATATATATATATATATATATATATATATTTGTGTGTGTGTGTGTATATATATTTGTGCAGCTATGGGTAAAATAGCAGGACAGACTGCAGACTGGGTTCTATAGCCTTGGATGGCAACTGGTCTAGGAGAAGGACAACTCTGAATTCAAAACCTGCGGAGGGTTGTTTGGGAACCTTGTGGCACGTAGTGCACCAGGTCTCTGTATTCAGCCCTTCAAAAAGTGTGGATGGTCCTGCACGAAACCTTCACCACTATAATCAAATCTCATGTGCCGGTGTCGGGCTGTCAGTTTCATGGAAACTGATCTGCTTGACCCTCATACGTCGAACCCGACGAGAGAATCGATATATATATATATATATATATATATATATATATATATATATATATATATATATATATATATATATAAGGTGTATATGTCATATATACTCGTGATTGAGCCTGCTTTATGTATAGTGCGGGCCCTGCATATTTTCTTAGAAAATTTGAACAATACTAGTATGCCTACCGTAGTCAAATATCGCCCTGGACATATTTGTACAAAAGTACCCCAAAATATAACTTACCGTAAACTATTTGATATGGAGATTTAGATATCGCACTTTTATTTTCGTTTATGTCTGAATTTGGTAACTTCTTTACCTTCGGCCGGCCTCCTACGTAGCCCAAGTTTCTTCCCGTTAAAAAAAGCAATACTTCAGCGATGTGGACACATACGAACCCAAAGTGGAGAAAAAATGTTAATTCTTCATTTATATGAGGTATTTGTCGATCTTAAGCGGCACACATAGTGGATGACATTCTCCTGTTGATATAGCAACAGAAAGAAGAAATCTAAGCTACGGGAGGCAGTTTTAGCCAAAAGCACCGTGAAAATGTAAGCCTACCAGGTAGGTTACAGTCACCGAATATACTTGATATTTTTACTTCTTCAAAATAATACCTGTGTATAGTGCGACCCCATTTTTTGCGTGAAAAACTGCTCATAAAACCTTATACATCCGATATTTTCTTGGTCGGCTCGAAAATTTTACAGTACTCGAATATACATAGGACTGGGTGGGCTATGTGGGTTAAGGGCGAAAGAGGTATAAGCGGATTGTTTTATCATCTAACATGATATCTTGGGAGTATATAACTGTAATCTTAGATTTCTACAACCATTGCATTATTTTTCACATGCTTTTAAGGGCAGAACATATCCTGGCTGCTTCACCGCGACGATGCACCTGCTCACAATGTCCTGAGCATCCGGCTGTTTCAGGCCGAGAAGAACATCGCTGTACCGGAACTACCTCCCCATTCACCTGATTCTGCTCATTGGGACTTTTTCTCAATGGGTCATCAAGGGAACCCGTTTTGAAGGCGTGTAAGCCATCAAGAGGGCCGTAACGACGAAGCTGAGGGGCATGCAAGAAGAATTCTTCCAGCAGTGCATGAAAGCGTGGGCAGAAAAGGATGAAATAGTGCATTAAACTCGGGGGGTGGATTAATTTGAAGGGGAAACCATGTAGTTTGTTGTTTTGAATTGAAATGAATTGTTTGTAACACCAGTCCCGTTACTTTTCAGGCAGCCCTCGTGTGTATGTATATATATATATATATATATATATATATATATATATTTGAACAATAAAAAAAATATTAAAAAATTACAATTTTTAGACACACTGGGTTGTAGATTAATATTCTTTCGTTTTTTTTTATTATTATTTCATTTAGATTCCTCGACTAGTTTCGACCAAAATGGCCATCATCGAGAGGAGAAATATTTCTGCTTGCTGATAGCAGTAAACTACAGAAATGAATCTTTTGCTGAAGAAATATATATATATATATTTTTTTTTTCTTTACAATTGGAATTAAGATAGCTTTAGGTAATGATCATTTAGGATTTTATGGTCTCCATAAACAGTTTGAAAAATCCTACAAATTTTAAAATTAAAATTCGTAAGTGAAAATGGTCATTAACTAAAGCTATCTTAATTCCAATTGTAAAGAAAATTTGCTCTGTTTAATGAAAATAAACATTGAGCGCTCTTATGTGAGTCAGTTTTAACATATTTTAAATTCTATGTTGTGTTAATAGGACTCGCCTGGATTATATTAACGGATTACTACCTGTGTGTGTATATATATATATATATGTGTGTGTGTGTGTGTGTGTGTGTGTGTGTGTGTGTGTGTCAGAGAGAAAGAGACAGACAGAGAGAGAGGTGATACGAAAAATCTATAGGCCAAACACGATTCTCACTAGGTGCACCACAATTGTAATCTTCCGGAAAATCAAAGTTACTCTCAATAATTAACAATGTATTCCCCAGATTTTAGACATTAGTTAAACATCAGAGTTTTTGGTCGGCCCAAGATATTTAATTACCCACTCGGATATATAAATGTTTATTTATTGCTGTACTGAAATCATCTCTCATACAATGACGACGCGAGCTAGCAATGCCTTTGTTATAATAATGGCGGACTGTTTCAAGATGTTGAAACTGAAAGATAAATTAACAGATTGCGTGAAAAAAAAAAAAAAAACAAGAATACAACATTAATAACTTTTGTCTCCATGGATAAAATAGTATATAACTTTATAACATGAGTGTATATACCAATGCGTGTATATATATATATATATATATCTTATTACTTTAAATGTTATATTTAGTGGACACACTTGCTTTAGTAGATATCCCTATTTTTTAAACAGTGTAAATCTGTCTGCCGGCATGTGTATTCGATAGTCTTAAATATGGCAATTGAACAATGTGTGACTGCGAAATTCTTTATTAAGACTCTCTATGCCATAGGCCGATAGACATATATTTACACTGTTTAGAAATCAGAGATGTTTACTCAAATGCGACTATTCACTAAATATACTTAAAGTAATACAAAATAATATGGGATTATAAATAAAATAAATCCATTAATCCTTTAGTAATTTATATATATATATATATATATATATATATATATATATGTGTGTGTGTGTGTGTGTGTGTGTGTGTGTGAAAGTGGGAAAAGTTTTTCGTTTGACACGTTTTGTCAGGACTTCATCGGCCTAGATTCTTTTTTCATAAAAGACATTTCTATGTTTATACATACTTTTCATAGATACAAATATTTAAGAAGTAAATGCTCTGTTTATAATAAACAATATTAAACAACATTTACCGGCCTGAATGTCCGAAAGATTTTCACAGAAAATATTCGTCCTCCGACAGGATTCGACCCTGTATCCTATACGGAACCGTCATTTAGCTTGACGTGCCTTTCTGTGAAAATTTCTCGGACATTCAGGTCGGTAAATTTTGTTTAATACTGTTTATTATAAACAGAACATTTACTTAAATATTTGTATCTATAAAAAGTATGTATAAACATAAAAAATGTCTTAAAATAATTGTCGGACTTTGTCCATTTCATTATATATATATATATATATATATATATATATATATATATATATATATATATACACTAGTCCTGTCACACCAAAAATGTCTGTGTTCGTGTATGTATAAAAATTTCATGTAGAGTAAATTTGTAAAAGAACAATATGAATAAAAACAAAATGGAAACTTATCTTAGCCGCCGCATTCATAAAAGTCTGGGAGAGGTCGAAACGCGTCTGCTAAATTTCCTTTTATCTTTATTTATATCGTTCTATTATAGATATACACTATATGAAATTTTTCACCCCACACACACTATATATATATATATATATATATATATATATATATATATATATATATATATATATATATATATATGTGTGTGTGTGTGTGTGTGTGTGTGTGTGTGTGTGTGTGTGTGTGTATGTATACGAGTTGAGACATCATTTTACGTCAGCAGTCGTTTATAACAAATAGGTTAAGGCACAGTGAGACGACCTTTTTTAAATTGTCATTAAAAAAATGTCGAGCAATTTATTATACAGTTTTTTTTGTCACCAGTTAAATTTCGATTCTGTCCGAGAGATTTGATTTTAGACGAATTGGAATTAAATTTGAGCAAAATTCTTTTAGAAGAATCTTTTCCAGGTCTTCCTTTCCGTTCGAATGCCATCTTGAGGTATTGGTAGGATAATATTTTTTTATACTTTTTGACGATAGTCAATTCACTACATAAATTCTTTCATTAGTGTTTCAAAGGTGTATATACATCCCCTATATATATTTCTTTCTTTTAGCGGTCTGGCTTTCTAGTTTTTATTTTTCTCTTTCTTTCTTCTTCAATCAGGTTCACCAGTTTTGGCATGACAATTTGGGAGATTTTAAAGACAAAAGAAATCTTTAAAAGACCATAATTATTATTTTTTTTTAAATGCAAATTGGTGGTGATAAAAATGCTAAGTGCTCATCTTTCGTTGTATCTGTTTCTTTTTTGACCTGAAACTGAGTCTATGAACGAGTCCCTTAATTCGCGTGATGCTCTCGCCACCGCAGACCTGCTCCTCCATTCGCCGACGTGACCGGACGCAGCGCACCTGGCGAATGACGTCATGGAATACGGCCTGCACCACTTCGAGGTTCATCTTAGCGGAAGTTTCATAGAAAGACGCCCCAATATCGAAGGCCAGCTCTCTTCCTTCCGTCACGGACACCATACGGTTGTCTTCCTCATCGATTTTGTTACCTGTAATGAAAAGGATTTCAGTTGTAATAAAGTAACAGTAATCAGTATTTAATAGAATACATTTCTTTCATTTATATTGTTTATCTATTAAATTAAAATTATTTTCTTATTATCTCTCTCTCTCTTTCTCTCTCTCTCTCTCTCTCTCAATTTTATAGAAATATGAGAAAGAGAGAGAAACATTTTTTTATTCTAATACCTGGGGATACCCAGTATATATAAATATATAACACAACAATACTCACACATACACACAGTAAAAAGAACCTTCAGATGGGGGCCCATCAACATTAAAACAAAGCAACCTACACTCAACAAAATTATGTTTCAAACTAGTCGCAACACATAACATGCATCTAAACATATGGTTCTGTTGTTAATATTTCATTCTCTTGCATGTTATGATGTCATAGAATCGGATCATGGATTTACGACCTGTGTCTGCTATTCCACGACCATTATCATCTCATAGCAATCTTCTATGTAAACATAATAGAATATCCTCTTTGATGGGGAATATCTTTGTTTAAATGTTCATATAACCACTCTGAAGATGGCTCACGTGAGCCGAAAGCTTAGATCAAGGACAAGCTTAATAAGAAAATTAACAAATTTTTGTCTTTATTTTCTCCCGAAATTAAAGTAACTATACGAAGTTTAGAACGGCTTATGATCAAACATAATAGACATTCGTTATCTGTTATATTTAACAATATATGTTTGAATATATATAAATATATGTGTGTGTGTGGGGGGGATAAAGTTGTAACCTCTGTTTTTATCTAACTCCTCGTTGGGTTTTGGAGATAGACTTTCAAAACCATATATATTCTGAAACTACATTACCCAGGGAACTTGGATATGTATATTTCATTTTAATCAAAGGGTGTCCCCACCTCTTCCCAACCACTTCACTGAAAATTTTTGTCCTTTGATATAGATTAAATTTGAACAAGGTGTCGGTTACATCGGCAAGATTATAATATTGAAATATTAATATAAGTAATATTGAAATGCGTAATTTTTCTCCAGAAATTATGACAATGATTTAAAATCAATCATCATTTTCTTACATAAAAGAATGTGTGACACGCAGCAAGACGCGTGTAATTCGGCTAGTATATATATATATATATATATATATATATATATATATATATAAGTGTCAGATACAGATAGAAGGATCAAAGCGTTTGAGAAGAAATGAAAGAGAAAACTCCTTGGTATCTTCTATTGAGAACTTAAATCAATGAATTTGTGTGGAAAATTTTGTGGTCCATCAAGAAGCTCTTCCCGCCACTGTCAAACTGAGTAAAATGGTGTGGTTTGGACACATTACAGGGCACGACAGCCTGTGCAAGACCATCATGCAAGGAACCCTTCAAGGTGAACGTAGAAGAACACGCAGCCCCCACCTACGATTACAAAAGTCAAGGGTATGATGATGATGATGATATATAAGTGGACACTGAAGTAAACACCCATCGGCTGAGGATTGCATTTAAGCATGAAACAGACAGTCACAGTTGGGTATTGATCTCAAAGTCCACTTATATATTTATATACACTCTATCCATAACTTTGAACAATTCAAGCCATAAATATAGCATACCTTAAAAAATCTTATATATATATATATATATATATATATATATATATATATATTAGTTGCCTTAATTACAGACAAAATGCAATCCTTGAAAACGAATGTATCAACATTCGAAAGTACCCAGGAAAAAATAATATAGAACAAAAATGAATATGAAATTTGACAAATTTATCGATAACGTAAAACAACTAATACAGAAATTTAAAAATTTGATAGACAAAATTTGATATTATTTAACCTACCATGTTTAATATATATATATATATATATATATATATATATATATATATATATATATATATATATATATAAATAAATTTCCGCCCTCCACCGCCACCATTACATGTTCATAAATTTAAATCTTTCCTTCTCTTTCTCCTTTTTCTCTTTTGAATTTAACCTGGAGTAATTTTTTCCGTTTATATTTGGTCTGCAGATCTGAAAGATTGAAGGCTATTTTATAGCTTACATGAAATAAAGATTATTACCTATGGTATTTTAAGTGTTTGATATTCATTAATTAATACACATATATATATATATATATATATATATATATATATATATATATATATATGATATATTTTCTGTTGATACGTCATTTTTATAGATACAATTTATTTAAGTAAAAGCTCTGTTTTTAATTACACAGTATTAATTACATTTACCGGGCCGGAATATTCGAGGAATTTCGTAGAAAATACGCGTTCTCCGACAGAAATTGATCCTGTATTCCTATACGGAAACTGTCATTTGATCTGACGTGCTATACTATTTAGCGACAGAGACACGTTTGGTTAGTCATTTTTAAAACTCCTGTAATTTATATATATATATATATATATATATATATATATATATATATATATATATATATATATATATATATATAATTGGGCTCTACTTATGAGGATCCAGTAGAGCTGTTCTTAGTACCGAACAGCGTGAGTACTCATAAATATGATTTGATTATAGTGATAAAGTCTTGTGTAGAAACAAGCACACTTATTGGAAGAGTCGAAGACAGAAAACTGGTGTATATGGTGAGCCACAGGGACCCCAAACGACCTTCCTCAAGTTTATAATCAGAGTTTGCTTTCTCCTAGACCGTTTGCTATCCAGAGCTATAGAACCCTGTTTGTCCTGATAATTACCCATAACTGTGGGGTGAAGAGATGGTTTCATTACCTTTCCCAAGGCTATTTGCACGTAATTGAGTGTAACAAACATGACTGGAATTCAAACTCGGCTATCTATTACTCTACTTCATCCCCCCTCTCTCTCTCTCTCCACACACACACACACACACACACACACACACACACACACACACACACATATATAAGTGAACCTAGAAGTCACACTTAGAGGCGACAGTCTGTTTCATGCTATATGCAATCGTCAGGCCACGTGTGCTGTTATTTTTCTCGGCTATTTATATATATACGGGTCAGTGGTGCATTGTTGGTAGTCTATTATGGCGGTTATTTTACCGGAAGTAATATAGCATAAAACAGACTGTCGCCTCTAAGTGTTGACTTCTATGTTCACTTTTATATTTACACACGCTCTATCTCCGATATTGAGCACTTTATTCCATAAATATAGCACACCTTAAGACTATATTTCTTCATATATATATATATATATATATATATATATATATATATATATATATATATATATATGTACCATAATGATACGACACATTTTAAATGCAATTATCTTGGATTATAAAAATGACATTGAGTACTAAATCTTTTTATTACATAAACTGATATAAAAAGAGTTTTACATATTATCTAAGATTTTATTTCCTACGAGTATCTGATATCTCTTTTTGCTGACGGTTAAATGTCTGTGTTTGAAATAAGAGGCGACCTCGTGCATGTTCTCTTCGTAGCGGTGACCATCTCAGGGGTGTAATATTCAAATCTTAGATAATATGTTCAACTCTTGTATATCAGTTATGTAATAAATATATTTGGTACTCTGTCATTTTTATAATCCTAGATATTTGAATTTAAAATGCCCCAGATTTAGGGAACCCCTTTGCAAATATATATATATATATATATATATATATATATATATATATATATATATATATATATATATATATATATATATATGTATATGTACTAAAAAATCTTGCACTAATGAAAAGTACAAATTAAACAGAAAAATTGAGAAATATAAGCAGTCAATTGCTGATAGCCCGAGTGGACGGAGTGATTCCCGGACGATCGGTCTACGGAACTCTGAAATCAGGATGTCAAAAGTAACATCGATCAGTTAAGACAAACCTTTAACTTGTATTAATTCCACACACCCCCACACACACACATATGTGTGTGTGCGTATGTGTGTGCGTAAAATGTGTATGTATATAAATATATACATATATATATATGCAATTTTTATATATGCGTGGTACTTATTGGAAAGAGCTCAATATCAGTGACAGAGCTCACATATTGTGTGAGCTGCAATGCGTGAACTTTCGTGTATGTATGTCTGCGTACGTATGAGTGGCGATCCACAGACAATATTTTCTCCCTCTACTATAAAATCACCGATATACGCAACCAGATATAAATCTAAAATTTCAAAAACTAATCAGTTTGTCTGACGATCGCAGAGAGCGTAAAACCCAGTGTCACAATCTCACATCAATTCAACTATATATATATATATATATATATGTATATATTCTTTATATGTCTTTTATCTTATAATTTGTCACAGCTGACAAGACAAGCCAGAGTCAAAATGAAAATTTGACTCCTATAAACACCAAAATCAATAAATACTCATCGGTCACACAAACCGATCTTCCGATCTTCCCTTCTTGGTAATGAAATATTTCAATATTATGCAAAAGGGAAATATTACTCTACGCCAATAAACGAATAAATCTCGTGTTAACAGCATAACAGTGGAATATCTCATTAATAGATAGGGGATGTCAGGTTGCTAATACATTGCTTTTTATTTCTTTTCTGTTTTCTTCAGATATTTTTATTTTTAATGATTGCTAAAGCAGAATTCTTTTTGACGTTTGACAAGAAAGTACATTTTCTTTCTAAAAATCCTAGATGACGTGTTAGAGCAGATTGATTTTTCACCCTTTTGAAGAAATCAACATTGCACTCGGAAAGAAAGTTGTGGTTTTATGTGATAAGTACTGCCACCCAAAATTAGATTCATAGCTTCTAACAATTTTTGAGTATTTAGTTTTAAAGATCACCTGAGAAAATGAACAGAAATATTTAATTTCCACAAGTTGTTGCTTACAAACTGACAAAATTCAAGAATAAATCCAAATAAAGTTGATATTTTTGTATTAGATACATTGAATGGAAAATATATTCAAACCAAAACTCTAATTATCAATCACCTCAAGCAAAATATGCTATTTTTTTTACTGTATTCGATAAGTAAAAAATGTGTATAAAATTCTAAAAGATTACAAAAAGGCGACTCAGTGTATAAGATTTGTTAGATCATTTGACAGATCATAATTAATAAAAACAAAAAATAGATAAAAGTGTATATAACATCATACTGTTACTGGGCACGAATTATGGGACAAAATATTTTAAATTTGCATTGTTTATTGAAAAATCACACAAAAACTACATATTACATCATAATATAGCTAAATTGTTCAGTGTAATTAGCCTTTGAAGTAAATGGTCTTATTTGATGGCACAATGATTTTGAAATAATGTGCTTGTGCCATTTATATTGTCTATATACAATTTGTGAAGCTTCAGTAAATTATATATTTTATAAAAATTTCACTGATCACTGAAATTAAATTTCACCTCTACGATTTTGAACCTAAACGTAAACTTTAAGCTCGCTTCCTCAAAAAAAGTAACGATTTGAAAAATATATTTTGTGTCGTTATTTATCATGTGAAACACCAACTTTCCAACTGAGTGCAATACCATGCTTCCAAAATTAACCTGACCTAACGACGCATGAAACAAATATAACCGGTGCAACTGCTGAAAGTTAATTAAATATGGCCGCTATTTTATGACGGTCCGTGTCGTTTTAATGTTTTTTGGATATTTTTACTTCTAATGATGCAATGAGCAGAGTTAACAGTATAGTTAAAAATCTTGGATTACTCATGGAGAAAATATAACCAGTGCAAATGCGAAATTAATTAAATATGGTCATCCTTTTTGTCGATATGAATCGTTTTAGCTGTTTTCTTAGAATTAATTTTATGCATAAAATTACTATCTTGCGGATGCAGAAATATAACCCATGCAATTGCAAAATTATTTAAATATGACCGTCACTTTTTATGGCACAAATAAATTAGCCATTTAATTGGTACTTATTTGTTTTAATTACCACTTTCAAGTGCTTTCTGCAAATATAAAATTAATTATAATTAATTAATTAACCTTTATAAATTTAGATTAAATATAAATTAATAGATTTTTGATAGTTCAAAAAATTCATTTCGTTCAAATCCGATTGTTGGCCGTATGACAAAGTATTTTCTCTCCCCTTTGGAGTTACGGATAGCGGCTGGGGAATCGGGGAGCCAAGTTCAAATTCCATTATATTCACTTACGTGCTAATACCCTTGGGAAAGGTATTAATTATTTTCTTCTCCCTCCAGCTATGGGTAAATAGCAGGACAGACTGGGTTCTATAGCCTTGGACGGTCTACCGCAGAAAGAAATGGCAACCTACTGGGGGAAAAATCTGTCTCGTCAGTCATGTATCGAAAGATACATGATCATCTAAGCATGTATCACGCATGGCATATAAGTGACTGAATAATAATATTTTTACGTCTCTATAATAATAAGCAGGAGGCACAGTGGAGTAATAGATAGCGGCTAGGTTTGAGTAATCGGAGAGCCGAGTTCGAATTCCAGTCGAATCCATTACATTCACTTACGTGTTAATACTCTTCTCCCCCGCCAGCTATGGGTAAATAACAGTACAAACTATAGCCTTCTACCGCAGAAAGAAATGGCACTCTACTGTGGGAAAAAATCTGTCTCGTCAGTCATATATCGAAAGATACATGATCGCCTAAGCGTGTATCACGCATGGCACATAACTGACTGACCAGGGACCAAAGCACATTAGAACAGATCCAAATCCAGGACCTCCCTACGCCTGTTAAAGTAATCCCTCCCTGATTGACCATATTTGCTGGGGTCTAGCCGTATTCACCACGCTAGGCCAATTGGGGCTTGGTGAGGCCATTTAACCCATAGTTGGAAGTTTTGAATTCAGAGGTGAGCGTCATCCAACATCGGTTGCCAATCGAAGGCTACCTGACTCAGTCTGTCCTGCTATTTATACATAGCTGCAGGGACGAGTGCACCTCGAGCTGGTGTTATGGTTAGCAAGCTTGTCTCGCTAGATCAATTACGACTGAAAAGTGTGTTCGATTCTCACTGGGTGCCTCATACTTTCGGCCTTGTGCCACATCTAAGCTACGCTTAGAAAACCAGTATAACTGCGGGGATGGGGGAGAAGAGATCTATTCATACCTTTCCCAAGGGTATTAGCACGTCAGTGAATGTAACGAAATCGACTGGAATTCGAACTCGGCACTCCGATTCCTCGATCCGTGCCTTATTTTTTTTAATTCCAAGTTGAAATTTGGATAAATACTGACATTTAACTTTGGGGTTGCTTTGAAATGAATGTCTTCAACTGCATGGTACCTCCATAGCTGGTTTACGGCCACATCACGTTGAAACACCGTGCGATCACCGAAGTTAAGCAACGTCGAGTCTGGTCAGTACCTAGATGGGTGACTGTTTGAAAATACCATGTGCTGTAAGCCTGGATGTACGGATGACGTAATGGATAATGTCTTAGAATTGTTATTCTGAGAGCCGAGTTCCAATTTTCGTTAGGTTTGTTATATTCACCTATGTGCAAATACCGCTGGGAAAGATATGCATCCACCTCTTCTGCCCCAGCTATAGGCTAATTAGTAAGTTTGGAATCACTCATCTGATATTGTCTCCAATAAAAAGAAAGAGAAAAGGTCTTACCATCTAAAAATAATTTCTGGCTTTAAATAACCCGCAAAAGGTTGGTAATCCGTAGAAAATGATTTTTTTCGTTAATCTTCACTTTATTCGTTTATTATTATTATTATTATTATTATTATTTATTACCTATCTAGTCTTTCCTTAAATTTGTACAAATGTTCTTTTGGGAAAATAGATATTGGGGCTGAGTGCTTGGAGAAATGGATTATTGCCTTTTCCGAAGGTATTAATGTGCATTGAACACAAGCAGACAGAACCTGGATTCGAACTCAACTTATTCAATTCTTGCTGTTGGAGACTAGTATTCTATTAGGGTTAATTAGTAATACTTGTATCACTAAACTGCTTATATCTCAAAAAAGAAAAAAAAAGAAAATTCTTACAATTTAAAAATATTTTCTGGCTTTAAATAACCTGCAAAGGGTTGATAAACCGTAGAAAATGAATGAATCAAATACTGATTATCTACACAGGCATGTCTTTTAGATTCATTTACATTCTCTGGAATATAAATATATAGAAACTACCGTGGCCATAAAATGAGGGATTAGTTTACATATTGATTTTAATATAGAATTGATACCCCGCTTTAAACCCACACTCTAATTTCTTGTTTGTTTATCAAATTCTGAATAGGTATGAAACTACCTCTTCTCCCCGCGCTATGGGTTAATTAATAAAGCTATATCTCCCTAAATCATTATTATCTCTCTCTCACAAAAAATTCTTACAATCTAAAAATATTCTCTGGCTTTAAATAACCTGCAAATGGATGGTAAGCCGGAGAAAACGAATCAATCAATCCAAAAACCTATATAGTAGTTGAGAAACATTCACCAGACGTTTAACTTACCTACTAAGACAAGAGGCATATTGTTACAATCACGATATTCATGTATCACGAAAAACAGCTTGGAAACCATTCGGAAACTTTCCCTGTCCGTGATAGAGTATATCAAGACGATACCATCGGTCTTCTCTACCATCGAGCGAATGGCAGCGGCACCAGGAATTTCATTCTGAAAGTTAAGTTTTTTAGATGGAAAATAATCGAATCAAATAGAACAAGTAAGCTGGAAGCTGGTGTAGAACAAATGAAAAAAGAAATCTTGGACGAAAGCGGGAGGAAAGGCCTAATTAAAAGAAGTCCGAATACATAGCCATTAGCCAGAGTTAGTCCGAGGTGTCAAGCTATGTATTGGGAATTTCAAAATCAGGTATAAAATTTTAACTAATCAAGTAGCGTGAATTTTATGATCGTTTTTTTTTTAAGCAATAAACTGGGGCTCACACTATACACAAGTAATTTTTAAAGATGTTTAAAATCATGCATTTTTGGTGTCAGGCTGTACCATACACCATATACAGGTAAATTTTTATAATCACTTTTTTAAAGCAATAAACAGTGGTCCGTACTGTACACAGATATTTTTTTAAAGAGGTTAAAAAGTTTTTTTCGGTGACTGATATACAGGTAAACTTTTATGACCATTTTTTTAGCAATAAGTGTCGTACTATATACAGGTAATTTTTTTTTTTTTGGAGGGATTAAAATTTATGCAAAAATTTAATGGGGGTGCACTATACATGAATCGATTTATACACGAGTATGTACGGTATCTTTGTAGTGAAGTAACAGAGGACGAATAATTACTGCATTGAGAGATAGAGCAAAAGAATGATAAACGTGAGGACGAAAAATATTCATTCAATTCTTATTCCTTTTTTGTATATAGCAGTAATCTGTGTTTGTAAATCATCACAATGACAATATTTTAGAATTGACTTATTAACCAGGCAGATTCTATCTCTTTAAACGTTATTTTCAGTGGATACATGTATTTGAGTATATTTATTTATTCTCGTCTATCGGCCTGATTGTTCGAGAAATCTTATCAAAGAAAAAAAAAGTGCGCTCTCCGGCAGAGGGGGGCTACGGTTTATCCCGGTATACCTTACCGACTTGACCACAGATAATTTCAAATTTCGTGCTTTCAAGCGGAATTTCTCCTGTCAGAGATCGCTCGATGTTTTTTTTCAAATTTCGTGCTTTCAATTGGCCTCGCCTGACCGACCGTTCTCCGTTATAACATTGATGCCCGTCAAAAAACCCAAAACAAAGAATACTTGACATGAATATCGGAGTTAGACAACACAATAGCTTTGGAAGCAGTAAAATTATTTATTGCACAATGTAAAAATGTGGCACAAGGCCGAGATGGGGAAAGGGGGAAAGGATGGTCATCTTCTGTCTTAACTTTAAACTTAGCTAGCCACAATCACTGACCCAAACATACAAACAATATTCCTTTCACCAAGACAACACATCCATTACATACCATTCTTACTACATCCACCAAAATGCCTCAGAGTCTCTATGAAGTTCTAACTAGTCCCCATATATACATTGGAAGCAGTAAATATTATTGAAATATTTTTGTCATCAATAAGTAAATTAGTAATGGCTTGCCACTCGTATCCGAATGCCTGTCTGCTAGGACGGCTAACTAATCTCTATTTCAAACGCCCACTCAGGGAACATTTGTGTCTGTTCAACACCCACCGAGCCCACTAGTGGTTTATACTGCAAATATCTTGATTTGTTACATTTTCTGTGAGAGAGCCGCAGGTTATCTGGTGTGATCAAGTCTGAACAAACTCAATACGCTCAAACCCTCAGTCACGATGACTTGCGACTCCGTGCTAGCTCAACCATCGACGACAAATAGTTCCGTCTACCCAATTTCGCTCACAGGGATTGGATAAACCCGTGGCGTGCTTTTCAGGTACTTTCCAAAAGATGCCACACGCTGGGATCGCCTCCACAGGCCGGTAGCATAAAAAAAAGTCTCCCTCCGAAAAAAATCGACTATAGTACGATTCGAACCCGACTCGCCTGGTCGGGAAGCGAACGTTCTAAGCGATATCACGTGATATCAATACCAAATGGAAGAATAACATCCATAGACGTCGAACAATAATAGTATACACATTGAACAAGAACATTAAATAAGAAAAAACTATTGATAAAATTTCATGTTTCCCCCGCAAAGATCTTAGAGGACCTACAGTAATTTGTTAATGTATCGAATCGCATATGAAGATTTTAACATTGGGACATTAAATGAAAAAAAAAAAAAAATACTTGTGAAAAAAATAAAGCAGGAATTATTGGCTCGGGACGTTAATAGTTATAAAATGCATGTATGTTGTCTTCAAGAAACCAAAATCAAAGAAAGACTTGAAATGAATAACTGCGTTTGACGACAAAAGTTTTGGAAACAGTAAATATTAAATAAATATTATGGAAATGATAATGAAAACAACGGCTGTATTGATAATGAACGCGTCAAAACGAATGGAAGGTCGCCCGCGTGGAGGCATGCAACTGAAATATGCTTAATATGGTGGTGTTGTTGTTCATCTTGAAATCAGTTGATTAATTACTAAGAGGAATTAATCAAACAGCTTAGTATAAATCTTATGGAACTCTTCTGTCATTCTGATCGTTCCCCCGGAAGATCGTCCTATTAGGAACATTGCATATACTAAGAAAAGTGCTATCAATTAAATGACAATTCCCTCATAGGGAATAAAGGACCATAGTTTGGACCTGGCTCTACAGGATACAAAACAGGAAACATAACATACACAAATAATAATAATAATAATAATAATAATAATAATAATAATAATAATAAAGAAGTCACCGTATATAACAAGTGAGGCAATGAAAAATTGTTGTAATATTGTTAGCGATTGTATTAAGGACTGGGTGTTATGATGAAAGCTGTGTATTCGTTTTTGAATTTTAAGAGATTATTTCGCAATTCTACTCACCTGTGTATTAAGGTAAATGTCATAGAGTTTAATAAAAGACGGTTCGTTGTCAATGCTTTCCCATTTATCAAAAGCATTATTTTTCCCTGGAAAAGAAAAAGAAAATCTTTTATGCTAATGCAAATATTTATACCGGAAAACTGATAAATGTAAGACGGTCTAGCAGACAAGATCAACGGCAGGCTAAGATTCTTCGATGAAATTTCAATTCATGAATACATATGTACGCGTGCTCGTGAAATTGTGGCTATTTTAGAGATCATGTTTTTCTTTGTTATATACTTAAAGCAGTTTCCAATATGGATTTTAAAACTTTAACCAAATTTTATATTCAATGTTAAAGATACTTTATGATTATATGGCTTTTCAATTGTTCTCGGGAGCTCGCGAAATTGACAGTTTTAATTGTAAAATTTTAATTATAACGTTAGTGTTATAAATGTGCGTTTATAGAATATATAAAATTCAAATAACCATGCATTGACCAATCTAAACCAAATTTTGGTGGGAAGTGCAAACAGGTAAAGGTGTACAAAGTACAGTTGGTTTTACCAGGGTGTGCTACAATAAATTTAATTAATTTTTTTACCACAATAAATTTTCGATAATAATAAAGTTTTATTGTTTAACATCCGAAATATTCCCACTATTAAAAAAAAAAAACAATTTAATGATTAAAATAACAAATATTTATTTAATAAAAATGCAATATTG